CTAAACTCTGCACGTAGAGCTGGGAATGTTCTCTATCTGGAGAGCTCTCACTCAGTAGATAGTACTGAGCTACATAGCTCAGCTTCCTGTATTCTGAGTAAGCTTCATGCACACTTATCTCACTCCTTCACCTGCACTGTATCTTGGCCCCAAATATTCTATGGCACATGAGGTATTTTATGCATCAGGCATAGTGGAATAAATAACATCCTTCTGAGCCTGACTGTGATATTTACATTATTGTTCCCATAGGTAACATTGAAAGGGGTGTGAGGGAGTCATTTGGACTCTGGAAAGAATAAGCATAGATAACTCTAGTTCTGATAATTATTAAGGGAGAAAGATCTCCTCTGAACTTTATGGGAGCAGGTGCAGAGTAGGGGGAAAACATGTTTACTCAATACCCTGAGGTGGATCATGGAGGGAGAAAGCTGAGTTTGGCTAACTTTTATTGACATCAGAAGAGTTCTGAAACTGGATAGGACCAAGGGCCCATGAATTCCAGCTTCCAGTTCTTACAGTGACCAATCAGGTGCCCCAAAGGGAAACCAACAAGCAGGAAATGAGGACAGTGGCAATTCCAGATATGTGATTCCCCTAAACCTGTACAATCCTACCTCCCACTGTGGAGGGGGAATATATCCACCTCCATGTATTTGTCTGAACCTCTGTTTTTATTTTTAACAAGATTTATATATCACTTTATTGTAAACACACCCTCCAAGTGGTTTGTGGCCATGTTTTATGTTGCCCCTGGCTACATGGGCTTCCTGGCTGCCATCTGCTTCACGGTGGCTTTCCTAGCCAGGAAGCTGCCTGGGGCCTTCAATGAAGCCAAGCTGATCACCTTCAGCATGCTGGTCTTCTGCAGTGTTTGGGTGTCCTTTGTGCCCACCTACCAAGGGGGAAATCATGGTAGCTGTGCAAGTCCTCTCTATCTTGGCCTCTAGCGATGGACTTCTGAATCTTCATTCCCAAGTGCTACATTATTATAATGAGGCCTGATCTGAATATGGAGGACCACCTGAACACACAAAAAAAATAAACATGGCATTTGATTTCTAGCACTTTGTTTAGTCGTTTAGTCGTGTCCGACTCTTCGTGACCCCATGGACCAGAGCACGCCAGGCACTCCTGTCTTCCACTGCCTCCCGCAGTTTGGTCAGACTCATGTCTGTGGCTTCGAGAACACTGTCCAACCATCTCGTCCTCTGTCGTCCCCTTCTCCTTGTGCCCTCAATCTTTCCCAACATCAGGGTCTTTTCCAGGGAGTCTTCTCTTCTCATGAGGTGGCCAAAGTATTGGAGCCTCAGCTTCAGGATCTGTGCTCCCAATGAGCACTCAGAGCTGATTTTCTTCAGAATGGATAGGTTTGATCTTCTTGCAGTCCATGGGACTCTCAAGAGTCTCCTCCAGCACCAGAATTCAAAAGCATCAATTCTTCGGCGATCAGCCTTCTTTATGGTCCAGCTCTCACTTCCATACATCACTACTGGGAAAACCATGGCTTTAACTATACGGACCTTTGTTGGCAAGGTGATGTCTCTGCTTTTTAGGATGCTGTCTAGGTTTGCCATCACCTTTCTCCCAAGGAGCAGGCGTCTTTTAATTTCGTGACTGCTGTCACCATCTGCAGTGATCATGGAGCCCAAGAAAGTAAAATCTCTCACTGCCTCCATTTCTTCCCCTTCTATTTGCCAGGAGGTGATGGGCCCAGTGGCCATGATCTTCGTTTTTTGATGTTGAGCTTCAGACCATATTTTGCGCTCTCCTCTTTCACCCTCATTAAAAGGTTCTTTAATTCCTCCTCACTTTCTGCCATCAAGGTTGTGTCATCTGCATATCTGAGGTTGCTGATATTTCTTCCGGCAATCTTAATTCTGGCTTGGGATTCATCCAGCCCAGCCTTTCGCATGATGAATTCTGCATATAAGTTAAATAAGCAGGGAGACAATATACAGCCTTGCCGTACTCCTTTCCCAATTTTGAACCAATCAGTTGTTCCATATCCAGTTCTAACTGTAGCTTCTTGTCCCACATAGAGATTTCTCAGGAGACAGGTGAGGTGATCAGGCACTCCCATTTCTTTAAGAACTTGCCATAGTTTGCTGTGGTCGACACAGTCAAAGGCTTTTGCATAGTCAATGAAGCAGAAGTAGATGTCTTTCTGGAACTCTCTAGCTTTCTCCATAATCCAGCGCATGTTTGCAATTTGGTCTCTGGTTCCTCTGCCCCTTCGAAATCCAGCTTGCACTTCTGGGAGTTCTCGGTCCACATACTGCTTAAGCCTGCCTTGTAGAATTTTAAGCATAACCTTGCTAGCGTGTGAAATGAGTGCAATTGTGCGGTAGTTAGAGCATTCTTTGACACTGCCCTTCTTGGGGATTGGGATGTAGACTGATCTTCTCCAATCCTCAGGCCACTGCTGAGTTTTCCAAATTTGCTGGCATATTGAGTGTAGCACCTTAACAGCATCATCTTTTAAAATTTTAAATAGTTCAGTTGGAATATCATCACTTCCACTGGCCTTGTTATTTGCAGTGCTTTCTAAGGCCCATTTGACTTCACTCTCCAGGATGTCTGGCTCAAGGTCAGCAACCACACTACCTGGGGTATACGAGACATCCATATCTTTCCGGTATAGTTCCTCTGTGTATTCTTGCCACCTCTTCTTGATGTCTTCTGCTTTTGTTAGGTCCTTTCCACTTTTACCTTTTATTATGGTAATCTCTGTACGAAATGTTCCTTTCATATCTCCAATGTTCTTTAACAGATTTCTGGTTTTTCCCATTCTATTGTTTTCCTCTATTTCTTTGCATTGCTCGTTTAAGAAGGCCTTCTTGTCTCTCCTTGCTATTTTTTGGAAATCTGCATTCAATTTCCTGTATCTTTCACTATCTCCCTCGCATTTTGCTTGCCTTCTCTCCCCCCGCTATTTGTAAGGCCTCGTTGGACAGCCACTTTGCTTTCATGCATTTCCTTTTCATTGGGATGGTTTTAGTTGCTGCCTCCTGTATAATGTTACGAGCCTCCATCCATAGTTCTTCAGGCACTCTGTCCACCAAATCTAAATCCTTAAACCTGTTCCTCACTTCCACTGTGTATTCATAAGGGATTTGACTTAGATTGTATCTTACCGGCCCAGTGGTTTTTCCTACTTTCTTCAGTTTAAGCTTGAATTTTGCTATAAGAAGCTGATGATCTGAGCCACAGTCAGCTCCAGGTCTTGTTTTTGCTGACTGTATAGAGCTTCTCCATCTTTGGCTGCAGAGAATATAATCAATCTGATTTCGATGCTGCCCATCTGGTGATGTCCATGTGTAGAGTCGTCTCTTGTGTTGTTGGAAAAGAGTGTTTGTGATGACCAGCTTGTTCTCTTGGCAGAACTCTATTAGCCTTTGCCCTGCTTCGTTTTGAACTCCAAGGCCAAACTTGCCAGTTGTTCCTTTTATCTCTTGACTTCCTACTTTAGCATTCCAATCCCCTATAATGAGAAGAACATCCTTCTTTGGTGTCATTTCTATAAGGTGTTGTAAGTCTTCATACAATTGCTCAATTTCAGTTTCTTCAGCACCAGTGGTTGGTGCATAAACTTGGATTAATTTGATGTTAAAAGGTCTGCCTTGGATCCGTATCGAGATCATTCTATCATTTTTGAGATTGCATCCCAGTACAGCTTTCGCCACTCTTTTGTTGACTATGAGGGCCACTCCATTTCTTTTACGGGATTCTTGCCCACAGTAGTAGATATGATGGTCATCCGAACTGAATTCGCCCATTCCCGTCCATTTTAGTTCACTGATGCCCAGGATGTCAATATTTATTCTTGCCATCTCATTTTTGACCACATCCAACTTACCCAGGTTCATGGTTCTTACATTCCAGGTTCCTATGCAATATTTTTCTTTACAGCATTGGACTTTCCTTTCGCTTCCAGGCATATCCGCAACTGAGCGTCCTTTCGGCTTTGGCCCAGCCGCTTCATCAGCTCTGAATCTACTTGTACTTGTCCTCCGCTCTTCCTCAGTAGCATGTTGGATGCCTTCCGACTTGAAGGGCTCATCTTCCAACGTCATAACTTTTATATGCCTGTTGTCTTTGTCCATGGAGTTTTCTTGGCAGGGATACTGGAGTGGCTTGCCGGTTCCTGCTCCAGGTGGATCACGTTTGGTCAAAACTCTCCACTATGACCTGTCCATCTTGGGTGGCCCTGCACGGCATAGCTCATAGCTTCTCTGAGTTATTCAAGCCCCTTCGCCACGGCAAGGCAGTGATCCATGAAGGGGTTTCTAGCACTTGGGATATGGGAAAATCCCCCACCAGAAGTTGGACTTGACCACAGCTTATAGTGAGGAGTGGGGGGTGAGTGAGTGAGTTAGTTAGTTAGTTTAAAAACCCTAGAATCCAGACCTATTATTTCCCAGAAGGTGCCGTTTGGCATTCCTTGTCTTTTGACATCATCCCTTTATTATTTTTTGGTGCCTGGGAAAACCATATTTATTCAGGGAAGCTTGTTCAGATATATATAAGCAGATATGTTTTTAAACCTATTTATAGCTTAACTGCTTATTTTAAGCATTAATTTATTAAGAATTTTTGATTTTTGTTTTGTTCTTGTATAAATAGAGGGTCTATTATAATTAAGTGTGCTTAAAAGAAAAGCAGGTGTTTAGACAAATTTACAGAAGCAGAAAGCGCTATCAAAGGCTCCTAGGCCTTACTGATATCTTCCCTTTCCACCGTTGGAGAGAGGGTGCCTTTGGGGAATAACATGTAGGGAAAGTGCTTCTGCCCTCATCTTCTGCTTGTAGGGTTCATTTGGGGACATCTGCTTGGTCATTGTAAGAACAGGATTGTTGACTTCATGGGCCCTTGGCCTGATCCAATCTCAGGGCTATTGTGATGTCAATAATGTTCAGCCAAACTCACCTTTCTCCTTCATCCACGTCAGTCTACTTAGTAAAGATGTTTACTTCCTGCTCTGCACCTGGCTCCTGTAGTTTCAGGGGAGATCTTTCTTCCCTTTACAACCATCAGAATCTCAGTAATCTATTTTTATTCTTTCCTGAGTCCAAGTTACTCCCCAACCCCACCTTAAATACTGCATTTGGGACCAATAAGCTAAACATCACAATCAAGGGCAACAGGGGGTTGTTTATTCCACTGTGCCTGAAAGGTCTGGTGTATAAAACACCTTCTGGGTGCAGAACAGATGCTCTTCAACTGAGCCATGATCCTTCCCTTCCCCTTTGTCTCTGAAGCCTGATCCAGTAACCCCACCCTCACCCCCACCCTCATATTTGTCAAGTCCCTGAAACATCATTCTTTCAAGAGACGGGATTTCTTCTGAATAGCTGGCTATGAAGTCAGGAGGAACAATCAATAGGGAAGTGTAGCAAGTAGACCTGGAATGACAACACTGCTTCTGCTGCTGCCTCTTGCAACCTATGGGATGCAGCAGAGGACTAAATGCCCACTGAATCTGATCAGGGATCAAGATTTGGCTGTGAATTTTTACAAGACAGGAGACCACCTCATTAGTGGAATTGTATCTTCACAAATGATTGGAGGTCAATATCCATTCACCTTTACCAGCACTCCCTCAACACAATTTGAGTAGTAAGTAATGCTGCCTTCAGGAATGTTTTTTCAGCAGGAGGTAATCAAGACTCAGTTCCGACACCTCCCTGGTTTTCCTCAAGCACCTGGTAGAAAATGATATATGAATAAATGAGTCATTGGTCTGATCCAGCAGGCTATTCTTCAGAAGGTCGGCGGTTCGAATTCCCGTGACGGGGTGAGCTCCCGTTGCTCGGTCCCTGCTCCTGCCAACCTAGCAGTTCAAAAGCACGTCAAAGTGAAAGTAGATAAATAGGTACCGCTCTGGCGGGAAGGTAAACGGCATTTGCGTGCACTGCTCTGGTTTGCCAGAAGCGGCTTAGTCATGCTGGCCACATGACCCGGAAGCTGTACACCGGCTCCCTCGGCCAGTAAAGCGAGATGAGTGCCGCAACCCCAGAGTTGGTCACGACTGGACCTAATGTTCAGGGGTCCCTTTACCTTTTTTAAGAGAATTGGAGAGTAGGTAGCAATACATTCATATAGTCAGTGCTATTTTTCTAGAAAAAGAGGTGCCAGAACTCACCACTAATGTTCCAGGCACTACTCAATATCTCAAGTCCAAGGTCACTGCCCTTCTTGTCAGTTCCAACATCAAGTACACAGTCATTTGGGGTGTCTAGAAATGTCACCTCTTTGCCATGACTGGAAAACATACTGTATGTAGCCAGTCTACGTAAGGGTAGTTGAAGTGACCAGTTATCACAACGTCTCTTCCCTTTTTGATGCTACACTGATTCATTCATCATCTGAAGGTCCCATTGAGCATTTTTATCACTTTTGGGGGCCTATATCACCACCTACAAAGATTCTGTGAAGGTGTACAATGCTTTCAATATTTCTAGTTTCCTGGGCTCAAGGCTTTCTTTGAAATACAGAGTAATACCACATCTGGAATGCCCTTCTGGTTTATATCCAGAGATAACCATGGCCCACTGGTTCTCTCCATTCCACCCAATTTCCCTTGTGCTCAGTATATCCATGTTGTCCTCTAAGACCAAGAACTTCAGTTCACCCATCTTGGCTTGGAGGCTTTCAGCATCCAACCCATCAATCCATATTTGTCTTCTAGGAAGTTGAGACTACATTTCCCCTTTTCATTCTTATCCACATGCCCCAGCACTATCTACCTCTCTATCCTACCTAGAAATTCATCTTACAGACTGCATGATTTGTTGTCGCTGGTTCAGCCCCTATTTTATTGTACCCCTAATAAATAAATATCTCCTATCTTATGTCTCCAGACTGAGGGAGCGTCTCATTCATTGGGATCAAATACAACAGGGAACTCTGGATAGGAGCATAACATTTTAAAAAAGCAACAAACACCACCTTTGCTATTAAAACTGGGAGATGAAATTGATTGAAACTAGGATGGGTCTTTTTGGGGGCTGTAAACCAGAATGTCAATGCGAGGGGACCTGTGATTTATTTCATTTATTTATTAAAATATTTCTATATTTCTTTTCATTTGGTGAAAAGCAGCGTTTCAATGCATTTTGCATTGCGAAATAAGTTTTAAAATTCAGCCATGCTCCCCAAAGCAGAACTTGTTTTCTCAAAGGTAGAAGAAGCTGTGAGATGTGTTTGAGTTGCAGATTTTCATTCGTAAGCAAAATGCAATTCAAACATATGTTTGAAACAGGAGCAGGACACCTGATTAGAAGAAATTGTATTCAATTAAAGTAATTTGGTTTGATTTGTAATACTTTGGAAAAGTAATGAAATTTTTTTTTTAAAATCCCAATAAGAACAGTCAAAAAGAAAAAAAACTCATTCCCTCATTGCCTCTCTCAGAATATCAGGAAAGGCTGGATACTGTGGTCAAGATCCATAGCATGAAAATCAGGGAGTTTCACACTCTCAATTTGAAATTATTTTCTAGAAGTTCATAGAATTAGTGTCTCTGGTTTGAGTCATTGCCCTTGCTCGGAGTTGGAAGAAAAACTGGTTCTCTCATGGATAAAATTGAATAACAACAACAACAATAATAATGCAACTATTATGTATTTTGGATTCTCATTTTGTGTTTTTATGCTGTGAACCACCCTGTGATGTTTGCATGAAATGTGTTCAACAAATTTAATAAATAAAAAAAATTGAACTGACACAGTACCCTCCCCCAAGTTGGTTTGATGGGGGAGTCTGACATGTTTATTCTTTTCCACCTGCCATTCAGGAGATCAATCATAACCCCAGACTCTTAGCTAACATCACCCTGGGCTACAGCATCTATGATACCTTTTTCGAGGCAAGAACGACTTCTGATGCCCTGACAGACCTCTTTTCTGGAGGGAAAATCAACATTCCCAACTACAGCTGTGGAAGATGGAAGATGCCACTGGCTGTTCTTGAAAGGGCTGAATCTGACACCTCCACACATATTGCAAGCATGTCAGGTATCTACAAGATCCCACAGGTAAGAACTGGGTTGATGTCAAACATGCCCGGCAACATTTGCCACCTCATAAAAATGCAAGTTTGTTTTCTTTTCCCCATTAGCAAAACAATATAACCTATGATAAATTATCATTATGTTATTCCACCCCATTCATTTCGGTGCAGAAAAAATGCAGTGCAAATGGCAGGGCATGAATTTCATACAGAATGTGGACTGAAAGCAACAACAATAACTGGTTTGATATTTATTATGGACATGCCTTGAAGGAGCAAAGAATGCTCAGATGTGCAGCTCGTATCAAACAGGAGTTGTGTGTTTAGTACTATGGGGCCCATTTTAGGGAACCCCCTTCCAGCTGACATCAGATAGAGCCCCACCCAAACTTCCAGTGAGGCACTTGGGGTCTGGGGGTCTGTAAAAGCCCCAAATGAATGAGACATTGGGGTTTTGTTAAAATCCTTGGTTCATGATGTTAGAATCCTTGGTTCATATTAGTTCCCTTTTGTTCAGAAAAGACACGTAGTCCAATTGCTGCTTGGCTGCTGGAGACACCAGATAAGAATGGCATTTGTGGAGTAAACATCTGGAGAAGTAAGTTTTTGGGAGTCTGGCCGTTGTGAGCCTGGCTGTGCCAGCTTACCAAAGACAACACACCCTTATGTAGACTTGTTATCTATGTAAACATAAATCTCAGGCTACAATTCTCTCTTTTAGTATATAGGCTTCAGAACTTTAGTAAGAAGCAAGGGGCCCTCAAAGGTCTGCCATGACAAGGTGCAGACTAGGCATGGCATAGAGTTGTATCCAATGAGTGTTTTGCCAGCTACCCTCTGCAGATGTCTGGGTTTTTTTGACTGGATTTTATATGAATTCTTTGTCTGAAAACCCTATTTAGGTGGATAACACCCCAGGGTTCAGCCTTTGGGGAAAACATCCCGCTGAATCTGTTGGTTTTACACAAACCAATAAATACTGGATTCTCTCTTCTCCTCATCTCCTGTGTCTCATTGGCCAGGAAAAGCAATATTTTTGCTGGCTGCATGAGGGCCTAAAGAAGACTTTTTCAAAAAAAATTGCAGCAGTTTTATTTTCTCAATTTTTTGTATTGCATCTCTGAAAACTGTTGCCGTTAAGCAGTTATATAAATAGCTTAAATGAAGTATATAGAAGTACAGTATTCAGTCATTGCCCTGAAAAACAAAACCCCAGTCTCTTCTCCTTTCCTCACCAGCTTAGTTATGGCTTCGTTCTTCATGATAAAGTCCAGTCCTCTTTTGTCTACCGCATGACACCAAAGCAAGAGACTCAGTACCAGGGGATGGTCCAATTCCTCCTGCATTTCAAGTGGACATGGATCGGGCTCTTTGCTCCAGACAATGACAATGGAGAAAGGTTCCTGAGTACTTTGACACCCCTGATGATCAGCAACGAAATCTGTGTTGCCTTCACAAAAAGAGTACTACTACAAACTTGGCTGTGGTTACCCCAGGAAGCCCCTGCCATGTGGAGACAAGTCAATGTGTTTGTTTACTGTCCAGACTCTCAATATGGACTTCTTATAATCATGGAGGTACAAACCTTACTTGAAAGGGTAGGAACTGGAGGGAAAGTCTGGATAATCACAGCTCTTCAGAACACAATCTTGTTTCATGATACCGAATCCTTCTGGTATGCTCATGGATCTTTCTCCTTTGTAATGAAGACCAAAAAAATGAAAACATATAAATACTATGAGCCAGTAGACTTTCCTACTCGACCCGCTTGGAACCTTGAATTTGATTGTTCATATTCAAAGCTTGCCTTGTCTGTGAGGGGTTGGAAAAGATGCAGGGAGAAGGAGAATCTGAAGATGCTGCCCTGGGGAACGAATGAAAGAATCCAATCCCAAGACAGCTATGTGAATTACTTGAGTATCCATGTTGTGGCTCAGGCCTTGAATGCGGCATATTCATCCAGATCAAATCAAGTGTTGACGGTGGGAAGGCTGGAACTTCCAAGGCTACAGCCATGGCAGGTATGTCCCTTCCCTTTATCACAGCTACAGTGGTACCTTGGGTTAAGTACTTAATTCATTCCGGAGGTCCGTACTTAACCTGAAACTGTTCTTAACCTGAAGCACCACTTTAGCTAATGGGGCCTGTTGGGTGTAGTGAAGGGTTAACCTTCTGTGTCTCGAGGCTGAGAGGAGGTGCGTACAAGGGAAGTACGCCAGGATGTGATGAAAGCAGCTTGGAATGCTGTGAGCTGAGTGAAAAGTGAAAGCAGTTTGTTGCGCAGCTGCAAACTGAGAGAAGCACGCAGAGAAAATGCAGCTTGATTCTGCTGGCAGTTATTGATTGTAAATATGCTACTTTTGAGCAAATAAAGGGATATTAGGACAGAAGAAACGTGTGGGACTTGTTTACTGCTCTTTCAACACACACCGCTGCGTAATTTCTGCTAATTGCTTTACGACCGCTACAAAGCCACCCTGCGTAAACAGAAGCTACAGAGGCTAGCAAGGGAAGCGTGGCTGGGTGCCGAACAATAAAACAATAAATCTACCTAACAGGGCCTCCTGCTGCTGCTGCGCCGCCGGAGCACAATTTCTGTTCTCATCCTGAAGCAAAATTCTTAACCTGAAGCAATATTTCTGGGTTAGTGGAGTCTGTAACCTGAAGCGTATGTAACCCGAGGTACCACTGTATATGGAATCATCATGACAGGAACTTAGAAAGCTGCCTATTCAAACCAATAAAGTAATTTCTTTAAGAAGCATTTTGTATATATATATTGGATGAGATGTTTTATTTAGATTTTTTTTTTTAAGATGCCCTTCATCACATTGATGTGATTCCACTGTGGTTTCCCTAAAAAGATGTTGAGGCTGTGTGAAGATTCACTATGTGGAGTTTTTAGAGTTGGAAGCCAGTGTAGGTCTTTGCTATTAAAACATCATTTTCCGAAAGAACGAAGTGGACTAACCTGAGAGAGAACAAAGACTGTTTTGTGCTTCTGAGTCCCCTCACGCTGCCCAAGAATGAGCTCATAACCAGGGGACTTGCTTAAGCTGCCTGTTCAGCTTACCCCTTTCATGCACATGAAAGGTTGAGACAGAAACTATCCCACAATTTTCTCCTGCTGGCAAAAAACCATGACTGACACCCATGCTCCTGAGGCAAGGGAATCCTCCGAGAGTCATGGAAGGGCATCACTTTACTTTTCCCCCCAAAGTAGAATGAGGGAACCTAAAAAATCAACATGGTGACCATGAGCCCTGATGAGAGAAGCTGTGATCCTTATTCAGGGGAGATTAGGATGCAGCGCAAGCCCAGCCAAATAACCCAAAATAGTTTCTTACTCTCTCAATGCTGGAGTTTCCTCTTTCATTCTAGCTTCATCCTTTCTTGAAAGAAGTCCAGTTCAATTCTAATACTTCAGCTGATGAACAGTACTTGGATGAGAATGGGGCACTGGCTGTAGACTTTGATATTGTGAATTGGCTGATGTTTCCTAACAACTCTCGTGGTAGAGTGAAAATTGGGAGCATAGAGAGACAGACATCTTCAGATCCAAAGTTCACCATTAACCCGGAAGCAATTGTGTGGGCCAAGGCATTTAAGAAGGTAGGAGAAGTTATATGTGTAATTTTATTAATTGTGACATCTGCCAAACTCTGCCAGCTTGATGACTAGAACATATAAGACTTTAATTGCTATCTTGTAGATACTTCTCTGGAGCTCAGTCTCATTGAGCTTAATGGAGTCTGTTCTTGATTAAGCATGTATAAGATTTTATAGTGAATACAGAGACTTTCCAAAGCAGAGCAGAACATTTTCCCACCCAAACTTGGTGCCCTCCAGATACTGTGGACTACAACTAGCATCTGCCTCAGTCAGAATTGGGCAAATATATCTGAGGGGCAACGGGTTGGGTAAGACTGGAATGGAGTAAGTTCTGCTCCATCTGTTTGGTAGATCAAGAAAACAAAATGAAAACAGTGGAGCTCAAGGTGGCCTGTGTAGTTGAATACACATTCAAATAAAAAACCTAGGAGCAGATACAATGGCAGCAATCTGAGGACTTTTGTTATTGCTGCTGGTCATAGGAGTGTTTTATTACAGCTGTTTGCATGGTTCTGAGATGCTGGCATTTATTTATTTAGGTTATTGTTTATTGTATTTTTCATGCTACCTTGTATACAAAAATGAGGCAGGGGTGTTATATAATTACAAACATCAAAGAGGTCTGTTTCTCTAACGAGCTGCTCTGCAAAAGAAAAACAAAACAATAATTTCCACAAAATAGGGCCTTTAGGCCATTGGAAACAGATATGCCTTCTGTTCATGTCTAGACTATTCCTCGCTCAAGATGCACAGAGAGCTGTCAGCCTGGATGTGCCAAGAAAATTCAGGAAGGGAGGCCACATTGCTGCTATGATTGTTCTCCGTGCTCAGAAGGCACAATCTCAACACAGGAAGGTAGGACAGCACCTCAGGGGAAAGGGCCTTCAATGGGAAGATGGGGCAAATATTTCAGCCAGGCTCAGGCTGATACTTGTAATGGTACTCCATTTTGACTACATCCTTTCTTGACCTCACCTATGGGCCCACCTTTCCCCACAAATGTAACAAGTTAGGATTCTCATTTTCTCTATGCAGATGCTAATGAATGTTTTAAATGTCCAGAAGATCAGCATCCAAATGAGGACCGGCATCAATGTATCCCTAAATTAATTACCTTCCTGTGCTATAAAGAATATTTGGGGATCCTCCTGGCTTCTTCTGCCATCTTCTTGTCCTTAATCACAGGCATTGTGTTTGGAATCTTTATTAAATCCAGGAAGACTCCCATCGTCAAAGCCAACAACCGAGACCTGTCCTACATCCTCCTCATCTTTCTCCTGCTCTCCTTTTTGTCCTCTTTCCTCTTCATTGGACAACCTACAAAAGCAACCTGCCTTATGCAACAAGTGGCCTTTAGCATCATCTTCTCAGTTGCTGTCTCTTCTATCTTGGCAAAAACCATCACTGTGGTTCTGGCCTTCCTGGCCGCTAAGCCAGGAAACAGGGTGAGGAGATGGCTGGGGAAGGGTTTTGCACACTCTGTTGTCATTTCCTGCTCCAGTGTCCAAGTTCTCATCTGCACCATCTGGCTTGGAGTCTCTCCCCCATTCCCAGACTCAAACATGCACTCCCAACCTGGAGAGATCATCCTGCAATGCAACGAAGGATCTGTGGCCATGTTTTATGGATCCCTTGGCTACATGGGCTTCCTGGCTGCCATCTGCCTTACAGTGGCTTTCCTAGCCAGGAAGCTGCCTGGGGCCTTCAATGAAGCCAAGCTGATCACCTTCAGCATGCTGGTCTTCTGCAGTGTTTGGGTGTCCTTTGTGCCCACCTACCTGAGCTCAAAGGGGAAGTACATGGTAGCTGTGCAGGTCTTCTCTATGTTGGCCTCCAGTGCTGGGCTTCTGGGCTGCATCTTCATTCCCAAGTGCTTTATTATTATATTGAGGCCTGATCTTAATTTGAAGGAGCACTTAAGAATAAAAAATTAACATGGCATTTGATTCCTAGTACTGGGGATATGGGAAAATCCCCCACTAGAATCTGGACTTGACCACAACTTATAGTGGGGAGTGAGTTTGTTAGTTTGTTAGTTTGTTTTGTTTGTTTGTCTAGATCCCAGGCCCATTGTTCTTCAGAAGGTGCCAGTAGACTTTAGAATTATTTCTGTATGTGTGTCCAAGTGCTTTACTCCTACTGCAATGTACAGCTTACCAGGATCATTGTCAGCTTTCTCTGTTGCCTTCACTTCATCTGTTACTACACACACATGCCTCTTTCTTTTATTTATTTGCTGCCTCCGTTTCCTCAGCATGCTTCAAAAAAACCTCCTAGTAGCATGTTTCTTGTGACAGTAAAAATTTAAACTGGTTCATTTGAGGAGGGTGGTTATATATGTTAGAGGAACCAGATAAACCTACTGGTGACACAGAGGTGACTGTGGTCCATTGCTTTACAACTAAGTTAGTCGCTTACTCCAGACAATGATTTCCACTCCTCCTTTCTTCAAGCGATTCCTAGTTGACCTCATTGACTGATTATTCACTGTTGAACTAAATGGAATGTCCAGCCAACCAGACAGAGATTTGCCTGCTCTTCTGTTTGCCTGTCCCCACTTACGAAATGCTAAAGCAGTCTCCCTCTCCTCTGCTGGAACCTGACACCTTGCAACCACTGCCATACATTCTCATCCCATTATAAAAATGCATGTCCCATTCTACTGGAAGGAGGCGGAACATATTTCATGGTAGATCAAATGACAAACATCCAGCAGCCATGTGAATCAACTGTACCCAGTTCCCAGCAGCCACTATGGCCAAGGATGAGGAGTGATGGGAGGTGGAGTTGTGTAACATATTGAGAGAGCTTTTATTGGTTATGCAGATTGATGAAGAGGTTGTATGGATAGTACTGATTACTAGGAGGATGTTCAGGCAGGAGCATACATGCTATATATAGGTTTGGTGAGGTTGCTGGAAACTTGCAGACTCTGCCCTTACGAAGAGATCCAGACGGAGGCAAGGTGACAATGGGTCTTTTCTGCAGTGGCCCCCTCTTTGTGGGATGCTTTCCCCAAGTAGGCTGTCCTTGCACCTTCCTTACACATCTTCTGGTGTCAGGTGAAAAAGTTTCTCTTCAACCAGGCATTTGACTTTTTAAATTTTTTGTAGGAGGGGGGTTATTGGTTTGTTATTCTCATTTTGTAGTTTTCTGTAGTGAACAACCCTGTGATCTTTTGATAAAGGACGTTGTACAAATTTAATGAATAATTAAAAAATTCAGAAATCAGTAATTTGTGCCACTGACATGTGTTATTAACATATAATGAAAAAGTACACTAACAACTACATGAAGACTGTAATATTTGAAATGTCTAGAATGAATAGACATTTTTTAAGAAAGCTTTTGGAATGAAAATATATTGGGCAAACTGATCTTTATGAAGCTTAAACTACAAAGCTGGGAGAAAGCTTGGTACATTTAAGGTTTTGAATGAAGACTTTGGTTTTGGACATGGAATGGACATTTATTTTAGGTGGTCAGAAAGAATGTGACTGGTCTTAGCAGAAGTAAAGTAGTTGGACTCAGACAATAAGAAAGGGCAACTTGGCAAAGGTTTTGTGCCATCTACAGAATTTGGAATCCACGTGTTCATGGCCCCATGTAGGTATGTCTTGCTGTCTATGACAACCAAAAGGGAATGGGAGCAGTTTGACATCACAAATGATGCTTGATGTTAGGAAACCAGCTTATTATAGACTAAGGGGCTGTCTCCTCGTCAGAAACTGTTGGCTCATAACCAGAGTCCCATTCTCTGGAAACATCTTTGCTCTTTGAATGCTTCCGTTTATCTTGATCTCTGTTGCTCTTCGGTCCAGATTTCTTCTTGTTTTAGGAACTCTGATTCTTACAATAAACCTCTTGTATAACCCATTTCCTGTGTCTTCTTGTATGGTCCTTATAGCTGGCAATCTCCTCACAAATTAAGAATCCGCATTACAGCCCAGCTGGAGGACTTACCAAAGCTCTTAACAGCTTGCCATACTCCCTATATGGCCACTCAACTGATTCAATTTGCAGAACCGGCAACGGGTTATCGGTGCCATATGATACTCGTTCTGTCCTGGTAATAAACCCATCATTTAGAGTAGCAGAATGTATAATTTGGCATACCTTGTCCTTTGACATCGACCCTTTATTATTTTTTGGTGCCTGGGAAAACCATATTTATTCAGGGAAGCCTGTACAGATAAATATAAGCAGACACGACTTTTAACCTATTTATAGCTTAACTGCTTATTTTAAGTATATTTTGCATTTATTTATTAAGCATTTTAAATTTTTGTTTTGTTCTTGTATAAATAGAGGGTCTATTATAAAGTGTGCTTAAAATAAAAGCAGGTGTCCAGATAAATTTACAGAAGCAGAAAGGGCTATCAAAGGCTCCTAGGCCTTACTGATATCTCCTCTCTCCACTGTTGGAGAGAGGGTGCCTTTGGAGAGAGGGTGCCATGTAGGGAAAGTGCTTCTGCCCTCATTTTCTGCTTGTGGTCTTCCTTTGGGGGCATCTGCTTGGCCATTGTAAGAACAGGATCATTGACTTCATGGGCCCTTGGCCTGATCCAATCTCAGGGCTATTGTGATGTCAATAATGTTCAGCCAAACTCACCTTTCTCCTTCAACCACGTCAGTCTACTTAGTAAAGATGTTTACTTCCTGCTCTGCACCTGCTCCTATAGTTTCAGGGGAGATCTTTCTTCCCTTTACAACCATCAGAATCACAGTAATCTATTTTTATTCTTTCCTGAGTCCAAGTTACTCCCCACCCCCACCTGAAATACTGCATTTGGGACCAATAAGCTAAACATCACAATCAAGGGCAACAGGGGGTTGTTTATTCCACTGTGCCTGAAAGGTCTGATGTATAAAACACCTCCTGGGTGCAAAACAGATGCTCTTCGACTGAGCCATGATCCTTCCCTTCCCCTTTGTCTCTGAAGCCTGATCCAGTAACCCCACCCTCACCCCACCCTCATATTTGTCAAGTCCCTGAAACATCATTCTTTCAAGAGACGGGATTTCTTCTGAATAGCTGGCTATGAAGTCAGGAGGAACAATCAATAGGGAAGTGTAGCAAGTAGACCTGGAATGACAACACTGCTTCTGCTGCTGCCTCTTGCAACCTATGGGATGCAGCAAAGGACTAAATGCCCACTGAATCTGATCAGGGATCAAAATTGGGCTATGAATTTTCACAGGCCAGGAGACCAGCTCATTAGTGGATTCATATCTTCAAAGGTTATTGGAGGTCAATATCCGTTCTCCTTTACCAGCACTCCCTTAACAAAATTTGAGTAGTAAGTAATGCTGTTTAATTGTATTTCTATCTACGCTCCAATTCTTTTACAAACAAACAAAAGAATTGCCTGCTGCATCTGATTAATTCCGCATTTATTGAAACATCCTTTTCCCACAGTGCCCTATCAGGTGCTTGTGGAGAAACTGGGATCAGAATACTCTTCTTCTTCTTCTTCTTCTTCTTCTTCTTCTTCTTCTTCTTCTTCTTCTCTGGCAAAAGCAGGGATCAGAAAATGACCACAAACACACTCTCCCCTCCTGTGCCTTCCAGAACTGATATTCAGAAGCATTTCCATGAATTTGCCTTATCTTCTTTTAAAGCTAACTTGGCCACCATCACTGTCTTCCAGGGGAGCAAGTTCCACAGCACTGTGCAAAGAAGTCAGTTTGCATCTGTCCTGAATAGTCTCCAGTTTTAGTGTTTTAAGAGATAGAGAAAATCGTTTATCCCTTTTCTCCACAATATGCATAATTTTAAAAAATCATGTCCTGTCCTTTCTTGCTCACCGTTTCTCAACTAAAAAGAACAAAACATTGCAATGTGTCCTCATTTATTTTCAATTCCTTTCCTGATGATCCATAGCTCAGAAATTCCCATTTTTACAGCCACCTAACATGGATTTGACTACTATGATCCCAAGGTCTCACTCCTGGTCCTTCCCTCCCAGTTCAGTATCCATGAACGTGTAAAACTCTAGATCATTTATGAACAAGATAAAAAGCACAGGTCCCAATACCGATCCTCAGGGGACTCCACTTTCTACTACTTTCCATTTGGAGAATTGTCCATTTATTCCTGCAACTTAACCAGTTCCTGATTCACAAGAGGACATCTCTTCTTATTCCTTGACTTCTAATCTTGCATATGAGTCTTTGGTGACATACTTTGTCAAAAGCTGTTTGAAAGTCTATGTACACCATGTCAACAGGATCACCAGACAAATTTTCAGTTTTTCAAAAGAAGTCTTCTTGCTTCAAATAGCTTCTTTGGCTGTACTCATTAACCAAGCTGATATGATCTCGGCCCTCATGGTATCTTTCCTTATTTGCTGTATATACTCAACTTGAGTCTCTACTACAGTGTTCTTAAACAACTCCAAAGTGTTTGGGAGCGATTGACCCTCTTGATTTTGCCTTTCAACTTCCTTTTTACCAAGCTTTGTGGTGTGTATGCTTTGATGTATCTGAATCAGCCCCTATTTTCTGGTACTCCTGGTAAATCAATATCTCCTTTTTTTTTGTTTGAAGAAGGAGGAAGCATCTTGTTCAGTGAGATCAAATACAATGGGGAAATCTGAATTGGATATAGTAGTGTTTTTTTTTAAAAGCAAGAAGCACCTCCTTTTGCTTTAAATCAGTGAGATGAAACTCACTGAAACTATGCTAAGTTTTGGCTGGGGCTTTAAACGACAATGTCAATGCATGGGGACCTGTGATTTAATTCATTCATTTATTAAAACATTTCTAGACATTTCCCATAAATATAACCCCTCCACAGACACCTCTGTGGTGATGGTGATGATGATGATGGCCTTAAAATATCTCGTTCTTCTCCAATAAAAGAGAAAGAACTAAACCAGATATATAGTTGGGTTTTATTAAGCGTATTCGGCAAGCCAAAATGACAGAGATGTGGAACGGAGGACGGGAGAGATCATTCTGTGATATTATGGCAGTGGACAAAGCTGTATTGTAACATTTGAATAATTTTTTTTAAAAAAAACTATGTCTTTTCACTTGGTGAAAAGCAGTATTTCAATGTGTTTTACATTGCAATTTAAGTTAAAAACATTCAGTCATGCCTTCCATGAGGAACTTGTCTTCTCTAAGAAGCTGTGAGGTATGTTTGAGTGGCAGCTTTTCAGTAATAAGCAATATGAAATTCATTCTCTCATTGTGTCTCATGGACTCTTGGAGAAGGTTGAATGCTGAGGCCACGATCCTTAGCATGAAAATTGGAGAGTTTCCTATTCTCAATCTGAAATGATTTTCTGGAAGTTTATCCATGGAATTAGCACCCCAGGTTTTTACTCATTGCCCTATGCTTGGAGTTGGAAGAGAGACTGGTTCTCTAGTGGCGAAAAGTGAACAGAAAGGTAACTCTCCTTCCCCTGTATAAGGCAGGCTCCTCCTTTATAGCTGGGTGCAATGATAGATGGAAAGAATGATTTTCAGTGGGAAGTGCACAATTCTTCCACCACGGTACAACATAATCTATGTAACTGAATGTGACTTCCATTTTCTCTGAATCAAGGGTGACTATGTGACATACTTTCTTCTGCAGCTGGATGGCTGGGAAGGACTGGCACATTCTTTCCTCTGCACTTGCCACTCAGGAGATCAATCTTAACCGCAGGCTCTTGCCCAACATCACCCTGGGCTACAGCATCTACGATACCTTTTTCAAGGCAAGAACAACCTCTGATGCTCTGACAGACCTCTTTGCTGGTGGGAAAATCAACATTCCAAACTACATCTGTGGAAAACGGAAGACACCACTAGCTGTTCTTGAAGGGGGCGAATCCGACATCTCCATGCATATTGCAAGCATTTCAGGAATCTACAAGATCCCACAAGTAAGAATTGGGTTCAAGTCAAACACAGCTGGCAACATTTGCCATCTTGTGAAAAACAATACAAAAACCAAGTTTTTCCTTATGATAATGAATTTATTGCTTACTTTACATTGTACGTTGCTTTGAAACATTGCTTTTCATGCAATGGGAAGCCATACAAAGATATTTCAGTTTCGGGATCATTAGAAAAAAAGTGGATTGGACAAATTCATGGAGGAGAGGGCTACTGATGGCTGCTAGCCAGGATGCATATTGCAGAGTTGGAGACACAGCCCCTGCTGCTGGCATCTGTCTGGCTAAGTATAAAAGGGAGTGCACCTCTGAAGCGAAGTCAATCCACTGTGTTAGCAGAATCAAAACCAGATTCATAAGGCCCTTAATTATTTGGGTCCAGGACATCTCAAGAATGACATAATCCCTTGTACATGTCCCCAACCACTGAACTCTTGGGAGGAGTCACTCTTAGTGGCTCAGATGAACAACTCGTTTCCAACAAGAGCCACAATTGTGGAACTCATTTCACAGAACTCTCTTCCAGCTGAGGTCAGACAAGGTTACTTAAAAACCTTCCGGAGCCTAATGAAGACCTTTATTTTTAACAGCATGCAGTAGCCAGTTCAAATGAAATATGATCTTGTAGTTTTAACTTTTGTCTTTTTTAAATCGAACCTTTGAAAACTGCTTAGAGTCCATTCTCATCCTGAGGTCAAGTTCTTAAGCCGAGGTACTACTTCCAGGTTAGCGGAGTCTGTAACCCGAGGTACCACTGTATAAATTGCTTAAATAAAAAAAGTTTATTTTAAAAATATCTGATGTTTATGCTAATTAAAAATTAAATATGTCATAATCTTTCACATAGAAGTAAAGTATTCAATCATTGCCCTGAAAAACAAAACCCCAGTCTCTTTTTCTTTCCTCACCAGCTTAGTTATGGCTTTGTTCCTCATGATAAAGTCCAGTCCCCTTTTGTCTACCAAATGACACCAAAGCAAGAGACTCAGTACCTGGGGATTGTCCAACTCCTCCTGCATTTCAGGTGGACGTGGATTGGTCTCTTTGCTCCAGACAATGACAATGGAGAAAAGTTCCTGAGTACCTTGACACCCCTGATGACCAGCAACAAAATCTGTGTTGCCTTCACAAAAAGAGTACTACTACAAACTTGGCTGTGGTTACCCCACGAAGCCCCTGCCATGTGGAGACAAGTCAATGTATTTGTTTACTGTCCAGACTCTCAATATGGACTTTTTATAATCATGGAGGTACAGTCCTTACTTGAAAGGATAGAAACTGGAGGAAAAGTCTGGATAATCACAGCTCTTCAGAACACAATCTTGTTTGATGATATTAAATCATTCCGTTATGCCCATGGTTCTTTCTCCTTTGTAATGAAGACCAAAAAAATGACAAAATATAACTGCTACGAGCCAATTTCCTTTGATCGTCTGAAAGTTTGGGGAAAAGCATATGTTTGTTCATATTCAAAGCATACCTTGTCTGTGAAGGGTTGGGAGAAATGCAGGGAGAAGAAGAAGTGGCTAAGGATGCTGCCCCAGGAAAAGATTGAAGGTATCCAATCCCAAGACAGCTATGTGAACTACTTGAGTATCCAAGCTGTGGCTCAAGCCTTGAATGCAGCATATTCATTCAGCTCAAAGAGGATGTCGATTGTGGGCAAAGGAGGCAGGTTGGAACTTCCAAGGCTACAGCCATGGCAGGTATATCCTTTTCTTTTGCAAACTGAAATTCATTATCCCAGCTATATGGAACCACCATGATAGGAATTTAGGGAGCAGCCTTAATACCAAATCAGACCAATAGACCATGTAGTTCAGCATTGTCTACACTGACTATTAGCAGTAGCAAAAGCCATTACAGAAAAGATGCAATAAAATGTGTTACACAGTTAAAGGAATTAATAAAAACAGGCACTTTATCATATAAGAGTTTTCTTCCCTGTAGAATTAAATTTATCATCCCTAGAAACATTTCTCATGAAACAGGCAGAACAGGCCACTCTTTCAGAGACGTAGCAGGATAAAGGTAATATTTCTCAATTTTGTTCACTTTGGTCACCCTGGAAATGCTGAAGCAGAATGAGAGGACCTAATGAGCACCTTTGAGTCCTAGTTCTCTGGTCCTTATTAAGAGGCTATCGGGATGCATCATGGTTTCATGTTCTCTCAGTGCTGGAGTTTCTTCTGTTGTAGCTTCATTCATTCTTGAAAGAGGTTCACCTCTATTCTAATACTTCAACTGAAGGACAGTACTTGGATGAGAATGGGGCACTGGCCATTGAATTCGATATTGTGAATTGGGTTCTGTTTCCTAATAACTCTCGGGCTAGAGTGAAAATTGGGAGCATAGAGAGACAGAAGTCCTCAAATCTGAAGTTCACCATTAACTCAGAAGCAATTGTGTGGCCGAAGCTGTTTAAGAAGGTAGGAGAAATTATGTTATTCCCTATGGCATCTATTATTGTCTAATAATATGTTGAATAAGACAGTTGAGGCTTTGATTGCAATCTTAGACATCCTTCTCTGGAGCTTAGTCCCATTGAGTTTAATGGAGTCTGTCTTGAGAAAACCTGTATAAGATTTCACAGTGAGTAGGAGACTTTCAGAAGCAGAGCAGAAGACCTTCCCCCAACTTGGTGCTCTCCAGATATTGTGGACTACAAGTCCCATCTGCCAAGGCCGACGTTGGGCAAATATATCTGAGGGCAACAGGTTGGGTAAGACTGGAGTGAATTCTGCCCCATCTGCTTATTAGATCAAGAAAACAGAATGAAAACAGTGGAGCTCAGGGTGGTCTGTGTAGTTGAACACACGTTCAAATAAAAAAATTCTAAATGAACAGCAGAGGTCAAGATCTTTTCATCCAGTTGAAAAAGGCTTCTCAAAACAGGATTTTCTGCAGTTGATTCGAATAAGTGCAGATAAGACACACAAGCAATCTAGGCACCATGTTCTGCACTAGGAGCAGCCTTTGCTGCCAACCTCAATGGCACTGTGGAGCCTTGGGAGTAAAATAGGAACCAGACAGCCCTCAGTCACATCTGTGCAACCTAGCAGAAGATACAGTGGCAGCAGTCTAAGGACTTTTGTTATTGCTGCTGGTCATAGGAGTGTGTGCGTGGTTCTGATATACTACCATTCATTTATTTAGTTAGGTTATTGTTTATTGTATTTTTCATGCTACCTTGTATACAGAAATGAAGCAGGTTGTTAAATAAGTAGAAACAACAAAGAGGTTTGTTTACTTGACGAGCTGCTCTGCAAAAGAAAACAAAAACATTAATTTTCATTAAAAAAGGGCCTTTAGGCCATTAGAAACAGACATGCCTTCTGTTTATGCCTAGACTATTCCTCGCTCAAGATGCACAGAGAGCTGTCAGCCTGGATATGCCAAGAAAATTCAGGAAGGGAGGCCACATTGCTGCTATGATTGTTCTCCGTGCCCAGAAGGCACAATCTCAACACAGGAAGGTAGGACAGCACTTCAGAGGAAAGGGCCTTCAATGGGAAGATGGGGCAAATATTTCAGCCAGGCTCAAGCTGATACTTGTAAGGCCACCCCATTTTGACTCCCTCCTTCCCAACAACACAATTGCCTTTCCTGACCTCTCCCATGGGCCCACCTTTCCCCACAAATGTAACAAGCTAGGATTGTCATTTTCTCTATGCAGATGCCGATGAATGTTTTAAATGTCCAGAAGATCAGCATCCAAATGAGCACCGGCATCAATGTGTCCCTAAATTAATCACCTTCTTATCCTATGAAGAATCTTTGGGGATCCTCTTGGCGTCTTCTGCCGTCTTCTTGTCCTTAATCACAGGCATTGTGTTTGGAATCTTTGTTAAATCCAGGAACACTCCCATCGTCAAAGCCAACAACCGAGACCTGTCCTACATCCTCCTCATCTTTCTCCTGCTCTCCTTTTTGTCCTCCTTCTTCTTCATTGGACAACCTACAAAAGCAACCTGCCTTATGCAACAAGTGGCCTTTAGCACCATCTTCTCAGTTGCTGTCTCTTCTATCTTGGCAAAAACTGTCACCGTGGTCATGGCCTTCCTGGCAGCTAAGCCTGGGAACAGGGGGAGGAGATGGCTGGGGAAGGGTTTTGCACACTCTGTTGTCATTTCCTGCTCCAGTGTCCAAGTTCTCATCTGCACCATCTGGCTTGGGGTCTCTCCCCCATTCCCAGACTCAAACATGCACTCCCAACCTGGAGAGATCATCCTGCAATGCAACGAAGGGTCTGTGGCCATGTTCTATGGTGCCCTTGGCTACATGGGCTTCCTGGCTGCCATCTGCTTCACAGTGGCTTTCCTAGCCAGGAAGCTGCCTGGGGCCTTCAATGAAGCCAAGCTGATCACCTTCAGCATGCTGGTCTTCTGCAGTGTTTGGGTGTCCTTTGTTCCCACCTACCTGAGCTCAAAAGGGAAGTACATGGTAGCCGTGCAGGTCTTTTCTATCTTGGCCTCCAGTGCTGGGCTTCTGGGCTGCATCTTCCTCCCCAAGTGCTATATTATAATATTGAGGCCTGATCTGAATATGAGGAAGCAGCTGAGAACAAAAAATTAAACATGGCATTTGGGATATGTGAAAATCCCCCACTAGAATCTTGACTTGATAAGCTTATAGAGGGAATGAGTTTGTTTGTTTTTCTAGATCCTAGGCCTCTCATTCTTCAGAAGGTGCCAATATACTCTATAATTATTTCTGTATGTGTGTCCAAATGCCTTCCTACTACTGTAATGTACCGCTCACCAGGTATAAGGTAAGTCGGAGATCTGAAAAGATCATTGTCAGCATTCCCTGTTTCCTTCACGTCACTTGTTTCTACACGCACACATGCTTCTTATTTTAATTTATGTGCTCATGGTAGCATGTTTCTTAGGTTGGACATGAGATGAGTCTACCACCAGTGACAGTAGAAATTTAAACTGGTTCATTTAGGGATTTTTTATATCTGTTAGAGGAACCAGATTTGCACAGAGGTGACTGTGGTCAGTTTCTGTACAATTATGTTAATCCCTTACTCCTGACATTGATTTCCACTTCTCCTTTTCCCAAGCAATTCTTAGTTGACCATCCCTCTGTGGCTGTTAACTCAAACTGATTGTTCACTTTTCAGCTGAGCGAATCAGACAGAATCATGCATTTCTAGTGCAGTTCTCCGCTCTCTGACCCTTTAAAGCTGTTGACTGTGACCTGGCTCCTCAGACTGGGCAATTGATGTAAACTAAAAGCTGATCCTTTCCTCCAGCAAGGGCGAGGAGACCAATAGCCCAAGTATGTGTCACGTAACCATCATGTCTCAAAGATGAACCATTCATTGGTTCAATTCTGCTGCAAGGAAGCGGAACATGTTTCTTGTCAGATCAAATGACAAAAATTAAGCAGCCATCTGAATCAACTGTACCTAGTTCCCAGCAGCCACTATGGCCAAGGATGAGGAGTGATGGGAGGTGGAGTTGTGTAACATATTGAGAGAGCTATTATTGGTTATGCAGATTGATGAAGAGGTTGTATGGATAGTACTGATTACTAGGAGGATGTTCAGGCAGGAGCATACATGCTATATATAGGTTTGGTGAGGTTGCTGGAAACTTGCAGACTCTGCCCTTACGAAGAGATCCAGACGGAGGCAACGTGACAACGGGTCTTTTCTGCAGTGGCCCCCTCTTTGTGGGATGCTTTCCCCAAGTAGGCTGTCCTTGCACCTTCCTTACACATCTTCTGGTGTCAGGTGAAAAAGTGTCTCTTCAACCAGGCATTTGACTTTTTAAATTTTTTTGTAGGAGGGGGGTTATTGGTTTGTTATTCTCATTTTGTAATTTTCTGTAGTGAACAACCCTGTGATCTTTTGATAAAGGACGTTGTACAAATTTAATGAATAATTAAAAAATTCAGAAATCAGTAATTTGTGCCACTGACATGTGTTATTAACATATAATGAAAAAGTACACTAAAAACTACATGAAGACTGGTTATCTTAATTGTTTGTATTCATATCTATTCTGTATTTATTCTGTATCTGTATTTATATCTATAAATTAGAAAAAAGTGACATTAAAACCAGATACTTCAAAGATCTCATGGAAATCTGAAAAGCATAGACATTTTTTAAAAAAGCTTTTGGAACGAAAATATATTGGGCAAACTGATCTTTATGAGGCTTAAACTACAAAGCTGGGAGAAAGCTTGGTACATTTAAGGTTTTGAATGAATACTGTGGTTTTGGACATGGCATGGACAATTATTTTAGGTGGTCAGAAAGAATGTGACTGGTCTTAGCAGAGGTAAAGTTGTTGGACCCAGACAATAAGAAAGGGCAACTTGACAAAAGTTTTGTGCCATCTACAGAATTTGGAATCCACGTGTTCATGGCCCCATGTAGGTATGTCTTGCTGTCTATGCCAACCAAAAGGGAATGGGAGCAGTTTGACATCACAAATGATGCTTGATGTTAGGAAACCAGCTTATTATAGACTAAGCGGCTGTCTCCTCTTCAGAAACTGCTGGCTCTGGATAAAAGTCCCATTCCCTGGAAACATCTTTGCTCTTTGAATGCTTCAGTTTATCTTGATCTCTGTTGCTCTTCGGTCCAGATTTCTTCTTGTTTTAGGGACTCTGATTCTTACAATAAACCTCTTGTATAACCCATTTCCTGTGTCTTCTTGTATGGTCCTTATAGCTGGCAATCTCCTCACAAATTAAGAATCTGTATTACAGCCCAGCTGGAGGACTTACCAAAGCTCTTAACAGCTTGCCTTACTTCCTATATGGCCACTCAACTGATTCAATTTGCAGAACCGGCAACGAGTTATCGGTGCCATATGATACTCGTTCTGTCCTGGTAATAAATCCATCATTTAGAGTAGCAGAACATATAGTTTGGCATTCCTTGTCTTTTTTTTTTTTTTAAATAATTTTTATTAACCGGCCAATCAAATCAAATCACATCACATAAATTCCGAATTACAAAGCCGAATTTTAAATTTTGTTGAGGGGACCCATATTTCAAGATCCGAAGGGGGATTCTGATCATCTTCTTGCTACTGCGTTAATGTCCAAATCAGTCCAAACAAAGTTCATAATTCTATCCACTCTTATCTTGCTGTTTCCACATCACAACTTGTTCATATATTTTCTCTTTTTTCTTTATGATCTCTTCTGATAGTCTCCTTAAGCCGATAAACACCAATAATAATCCTGTGTGAATTTTTCCGTTCTTCCAATCCTCAAATCGAGATGGTTTCCATATATCATCGCCTTCATAGATAACATCGCTTTTTCCATCATTAATTACAGAACTGTCGCTCTTAAGTCCCTCCGAGGAGTTCCACCCACAATATAAAAACAGCTCTATTTCTCTATTTCTCCTCCCAGACTTAAGTCCTCCGACAGAACTTCCCAATATGGCGACGGTATTTTTAACTGCGTTATTTCAAAGCCCTTATACATTCCACGCTGTCAGAGCTGGCTCCAGGTCCCAGCTCACAGAGGACCAACGCTAGCCGGCAGTAATGTACAAAAGTCTTTATTGAAGTACAGTTTCCATTTTCAAGCCGCAGCGCCCCAGCTCTACGTCTAGGGGTTAGATCGGCGAAGCTCCATCTGAGTCTCCGCCCCTGTACACCAGTTTAAGATTCTAGCCTTACTCCACCTCTTACGTCTCTCCTTTCTCCTCTGGGTCCTGCTACCCCCCGGGGTCCCTTCCTTCCTGGATTCTTCTGACGCTGACGTTGACCCCCCTGACTCCTCCCCCTCTTTTCGGCGGGCTTTGGGACCTGGCTCCCTATCCGGGCTGCCAACTGCGCCGCCCTCCTGTACATTTGAACTTGGCGCGCGCGCCCAGCCTTCAACCTTCCTCTCGACCGTTTCCTCGCTCCCCGATGGAGGCGTGGCCAATCCTGACTCATGTCCTCCCACTGGCAGTGCGCCGCCTGATCCCGATGCCTGGGACCCCTCCCGACTACTGCTCTCTGGTGTGGTCGGTGGTCCTGTTTTGCAACTGTTGCTCTCCGAGTCCCCTCTGGCCCCTTCTTCCGGGGGTGTCCCCTCGGCACCCCCTTGCTCTGACCAAGGGAGCCCCTTTCTGTGAATCTTCCGATTCGCTGGAAAGACTCAGAGACCTCGGACCGCTGTCATCGCTAACATTTCCTTCGGACTCCTCCCCCTCGCTCTCTATTTCCTCCCTTTCCTGTGCCTCTGCTCCTGAACCCCTGACACACGCTCTTCTTAAAACATGCTTTGCTTCGAATGTTTATCTCCACACAGCCTTAAATCCACAGCTTAAGTCCTTAAAATGACATTTCTGACTTGTGGGGGGAGGGATTCTTGTTTAATCATATAAAGGAAAGAAAGGAAAGTTTTTTCCCCCTCCCCCATCAGTCCCTTTGCCATACCGAGTCTTGGCATATCTTCTCATGATTTATACTTGTTCCTCCGACTCGTCTTGTTTTATCAGAGATCTCTTCTGTTAGCAGTCTTTACTCCCTCTCCTTCCTTGAAATATGTGCATTCGCTTCATCCAAATTGTTTCTTTTGAAGTTCTTGCAGCTAGTGGCGCGGATCAGGAGACGGCGTCCAGGAGCGCCGAAATCCCACAGGAGGGCATTGTGCCTAGTGCCCCCATCCCCACAAATTCGGGGTGGTATAGGGCACAGCAGGCAGGGCCGTCCCCCCACAATCCTGGGGGGTAGGAGGCTATTTACTCCCATCACAGCCTCCAAATTACCTCGTGTGGGTCGGAGAGATGTTATTGTCAGCCATCTTCTGATGCGCCCCTAGTGGCCCCTGGCATTCCTTGTCTTTTGACATCATCCCTTTATTATTTTCTGGTGCCTGGGAAAACCATATTTATTCAGGGTAGCCTGTTCAGATATGTAGAAGCAGACATGTCTTTTAATCTATTTATAGCTTAACTGCTTATTTTAAGAATATTTTGCATTTATTTATTAAGAATTTTAAATTTTTGTTTTTTCTTGTATACTTCTAAGAGGGTCTATTTATAATTTATAGTGTGCTTGAAATAAAAGCAGGTGTTTAGACAAATTTACAGAAGCAGAAAGGGCTATCAAAGGCTCCTAGGCCTTATTGATATCTTCTCTTTCCACCGTTGGAGAGAGGATGCCTTTGGAGAATCACATGTAGGGAAAGTGCTTCTGCCTTCATCTTCTGCTTGTAGGGTTCATTTGGGGGCATCTGCTTGGCCATTGTAAGAAAAGGACCGTTGACTTCATGGGCCCTTCATGGGCCCAACCTCAGGGCTATTGTGATGTCAATAACATTCAGCCAAACTCACCTTTCTCCTTCAACCACATCAGTCTACTTAGTAAATATGTTTTTTCCCTGCTCTTCACCTGCTCCTGTAGTTTCAGGGGAGATCTTCATTCCCTTTACAATCATCAGAATCACAGTAATCTATTTTTATTCTTTCCTAAGCCCAAGTCACCCCAACCCCACCTTAAATACTGCATTTGGGACCAATAAGCTAAACATCACGATCAAGGGCAACAGGGGGTTGTTTATTCCACTGTGCCTGAAAGATCTGGTGTATAAAACACCTTCTGGGTGCAGAACAGATGCTCTTCGACTGAGCCATGATCCTTCCCTTCCCCTTTGTCTCTGAAGCCTGATCCAGTAACCCCACCCTCACCCCACCCTCATATTTGTCAAGTCCCTGAAACATCATTCTTTCAAGAGACGGGATTTCTTCTGAATAGCTGGCTATGAAGTCAGGAGGAATAACCAATAGGGAAGTGTAGCAAGTAGACCCGGAATGACAACACTGCTTCTGCTGCTGCCGCTTGCAACCTATGGGATGCAGCAGAGGACTAAATGCCCACTGAATCTGATCAGGGATCAAAATTGGGCTATGAATTTTTACAGGCCAGGAGACCAGCTCATTAGTGGATTCATATCTTCAAAGGTTATTGGAGGTCAATATCCGTTCTCCTTTACCAGCACTCCATTAACAAAATTTGAGTAGTAAGTAATGGTGTATTAATGTTTTCCTGTCTACTCTCCAACTTTACAAACAAACAAAAGAATTGCCTGCTGCATCTGATTAATTCCGCATTTATTGAAACATCCTTTCCCCACACTGCCCTACCAGGTACTTGTGGAAAAACAGGGAGCAGAATACTCTTCTTCTTCTTCTTCTTCTTCTTCTTCTTCTTCTTCTTCTTCTTCGTCAAAAGCAGGGATCAGAAAATGACCACAAACACACTCTCCCCTCCTGTGCCTTCCAGAACTGATATTCAGAAGCATTTCCATGAATTTGCCTTATCTTCTTTTAAAGCTAACTTGGCCACCATCACTGTCTTCCGGGGGAGCAAGATCCACAGCACTGTGCAAAGAAGTCAGTTTGCATCTGTCCTGAATAGTCTCCAGTTTTAGTGTTTTTAGAGAAGGAGAAAATTGTTTATCCGTTTTCTCCACAATATGCATAATTTTAAAAAATCATGTCCTGTCCTTTCTTGCTCACCGTTTCTCAACTATAAAGAGCAAAACATTGCAATGTGTCCTCATTTATTTTCAATTCCTTTCCTGTTGATCCATAGCTCAGAAATTCCCATTTTTACAGCCACCTAACATGGATTTGACTACTATGATCCCAAGGTCTCACTCCTGGTCCTTCCCTCCCAGTTCAGAATCCATGCACATGTAAAACTCTAGATCATTTATGAACAAGATAAGAAGCACCGGTCCCAATATCGATCCTCAGGGGACTCCACTTTCTACTCCTCTTCATTTGGAGAATTGTCCATTTATTCCTACATTTTGCTTCCTGCAACTTAACCAGTTCCTGATTCACAAGAGGACTTCTCTTCTTATTCCTTGACTTCTAATCTTGCATATGAGTCTTTGGTGACATACTTTGTCAAAAGCTGTTTGAAAGTCTATGTACACCATGTCAACAGGATCACCAGACAAATTTTCAGTTTTTCAAAAGAAGTCTTCTTGCTTCAAATAGCTTCTTTGGCTGTACTCATTAACCAAGCTGATATGATCTCGGCCCTCATGGTATCTTTCCTTATTTGGTGTATATACTCAACTTGAGTCTCTACTACAGTGTTCTTAAACAACTCCAAAGTGTTTGGGAGCGATTGACCCTCTTGACTTTGCCTTTCAACTTCCTTTTTACCAAGCTTTGTGGTGTGTATGCTTTGATGTATCTGAATCAGCCCCTATGTTCTGGTACTCCTGGTAAATCAATATCTTTTTTTTTTTGAAGAAGGAGGAAGCATCTTGTTCAGTGAGATCAAATACAATGGGGAAATCTGAATTAGGTATAATATTTTTTAAAAGCAAGAAGCACCTCCTTTTGCTTTAAATCAGTGAGATGAAACTCACTGAAACTATTCTGAGTATTTGCTGGGGCATTAAACGAAAATGTCAATGCATGGGGACCTGTGATTTAATTCATTCATTTATTAAAACATTTCTAGACATTTCCCATCAATATAACCCCTACACAGACACCTCTGTGATGATGATGATGATGATGATGATGATGGCCTTAAAATATCTCGTTCTTCTCCAATAAAAGAGAAAGAACTAAACCAGATATAGTTGGGTTGTATGTGGCATGTTAAAATGACAGAGATGAGGACTGGAGTAATCATTTTGTGATATTATGGCAGTGGACATAGCTGTATTGTAACATTTGAATAATTTTATTAAAAAATCTATATGTATGTTCACTTGGTGAAAAGCAGTATTTCAATGTGTTTTACATTACAATTTAAGTTAAAAACATTCAGTCATGCTTCCCATGAGGAACTTGTCTTCTCTAAGAAGCTGTGAGGTATGTTTGAGTGGCAGCTTTTCAGTAATAAGCAATATGAAATTCATTCTCTCATTGTGTCTTATGGACTCTTGGAGAAGGTTGAATGCTGAGGCCATGATCCTTAGCATGAAAATTGGGGAGTTTCCTATTCTCAATCTGAAATGATTTTCTGGAAGTCTATCCATGGAATTAGCACCCCAGGTTTTTACTCATTGCCCTATGCTTGGAGTTGGAAGAGAGACTGGTTCTCTAATGGAGAAAAGTGAATAATAAGGTAACTCTCCTTCCCCTGTATAAGGCAGGCTTCTCCTTTATAGCTGGGTACAATTTTAGATGGAAAGAACGATTTTCAGTGGGAAGTGCACAATTCTTCTACCACGGCACAACATAATCTATGTAACTGAATGTGACTTCCATTTTCTCTGAATCAAGGGTGACTATGTGACATACTTTCCTCTGCAGCTGGATGGGTGGGAAGGACTGGCACATTCTTTCCTCCGCACTTGCCACTCAGGAGATCAATCTTAACCCCAGGCTCTTACCCAACATCACCCTGGGCTACAGCATCTACGATACCTTTTTTGAGGCAAGAACAACTACTGATGCCCTGACAGACCTCTTTGCTGGTGGGAAAATCAACATTCCAAACTACATCTGTGGAAAACGGAAGACACCACTAGCTGTTCTTGAAGGGGGTGAATCCGACATCTCCATGCACATTGCAAGCATTTCAGGAATCTACAAGATCCCACAAGTAAGAATTGGGTTCAAGTCAAACACAGCTGGCAACATTTGCCATCTTGTGAAAAACAATACAAAAACCAAGTTTTTCTTATGATAATGAATTTATTGCTTACTTTACATTGTACGTTGCTTTGAAACATTGCTTTTCATGCAATGGGAAGCCATACAAAGATATTTCAGTTTCGGGATCATTAGAAAAAAAGTGGATTGGACAAATTCATGGAGGATGGCTACTAGCCGGGATGCCTATTGCAGAGCTGGAGACACTGTTGGCATCTGTCTGGCTAAGTATAAAAGGGAGTGCACCTCCGAAGCGAAGTCAATCCACTGTGTTAGCAGAATCAAAACCAGATTCATAAGGCCCTTAATTATTTGGGTCCAGGACATCTCAAGAATGACATAATCCCTTGTACATGTCCCCAATCACTGAACCCTTGGGAGGAGTCACTCTTAGTGGCTCAGATGAACAGCTTGTTTCCAGCAAGAGCCACAATTGTGGAACTCATTTCACAGAACTCTCTCCCAGCTGAGGTCAGACAAGGTTACTTAAAAACCTTCCAGAGCCTAATGAAGACCTTTATTTTTAACAGCATGCAGTAGCCAGTTCAAATGAAATATGATCTTGTAGTTTTAACTTTTGTCTTTTTTAAATCAAACCTTTGAAAACTGCTTAGAGTCCATTCTCATCCTGAGGTCAAGTTCTTAAGCCGAGGTACTACTTCCGGGTTAGCGGAGTCTGTAACCCAAGGCACCACTTATAAATTGCTTAAATGAAAAAAGGTTATTTTTAAAATATTTGATGTTTATGCTAATTAAAAATTAAATATGTCATAATCTTTCACATAGAAGTAAAGTATTCAATCATTGCCCTGAAAAACAAAACCCCAGTCTCTTTTTCTTTCCTCACCAGCTCAGTTATGGCTTTGTTCCTCATGATAAAGTCCAGTCCCCTTTTGTCTACCAAATGACACCAAAGCAAGAGACTCAGTACCAGGGGATGGTCCAACTCCTCCTGCATTTCAGATGGACGTGGGTCGGTCTCTTTGCTCCAGACAATGACAATGGAGAAAAGTTCCTGAGGACCTTGACACCCCTGATGACCAGCAATGAAATCTGTGTTGCCTTCACAAAAAGAGTACTACTACAAACTTGGCAGTGGTTACCCCACGAAGCCCCTGCCTTGTGGAGACAAGTCAATGTATTTGTTTACTCTGCAGACTCTCAATATGGACTTTTCATAATCATGGAAGTACAGTCTTTACTTGAAAGGATAGAAACTGGAGGAAAAATCTGGATAATCACAGCTCTTCAGAACACAATCTTATTTGGTGATATTAAATCTTTCCGCTATGCCCATGGTTCTTTCTCCTTTGTAATGAAGACCAAAAAAATGACAAAATATAAATACTATAAGCCAATTTCATTTTATAGTCTAAACGTTTGGGGAAAAGCATATGTTTGTTCATATTCAAAGCATGCCTTGTCTGTGAAGGGTTGGGAAAAATGCAGGGAGAAGAAGAAGTGGCTAAGGATGCTGCCCCAGGAAAAGATTGAAGGAATCCAATCCCAAGACAGCTATGTGAATTACTTGAGCATCCAGGCTGTGGCTCAAGCCTTGAATGCAGCATATTCATTCAGCTCAAAGAGGATGTCGATTGTGGGCAAAGGAGGCAGGTTGGAACTTCCAAGGCTACAGCCATGGCAGGTATATCCTTTTCTTTTGCAAACTGAAGTTCATTATCCCAACTACATGGAATCACCATGATAGGAATTTAGGGAGCAGCCTTAATACCAAATCAGACCAATGGACCGTATAGTTCAGCTTTGTCTACACTGACTAATAGCAGTAGCAAAAGCCATTACAGAAAAGATGCAATAAAATGTGTTACACAGTTAAAGGAATTAATAAAAACAGGCACTTTATCATATAAGAGTTTTCTTCCCTGTAGAATTAAATTTATCATCCCTAGAAACATTTCTCATGAAACGGCAGAACAGGCCACTCTTTCAGAGACGTAGCAGGATAAAGGTAATATTTCTCAATTTTGTTCACTTTGGTCACCCTGGAAATGCTGAAGCAGAATGAGAGGACCTAATGAGCACCTTTGAGTCCTAGTTCTCTGGTCCTTATTAAGAGGCTATTGGGATGCATCATGGTTTCATGTTCTCTCAATGCTGGAGTTTCTTCTGTTGTAGCTTCATTCATTCTTGAAAGAGGTTCACCTCTATTCTAATACTTCATCTGAAGGACAGTACTTGGATGAGAATGGGGCACTGGCCATTGACTTCGATATTGTGAATTGGGTGCTGTTTCCTAATAACTCTCGGGCTAGAGTGAAAATTGGGAGCATAGAGAGACAGAAGTCCTCAAATCTGAAGTTCACCATTAACTCAGAAGCAATTGTGTGGCCGAAGCTGTTTAAGAAGGTAAGAGAAATTGTTATTCCCTGCGACATCTATAATTGTCTAATAACATGTTGAATAGTACAGATGATTGATTGCAGTCTTAGACATCCTTCTCTGGAGCTTAGTCCCATTGAGTTTAATGGAGTCTGTCTTGAGAAAACGTGTATAAGATTTCACATGGAGTAGGAGACTTTCAGAAGCAGAGCAGAAGACCTTCCCCCCAACTTGGTGCTCTCCAGATATTGTGGACTACAAGTCCCATCTGCCAAGGCCAACATTGGGCAAATATATCTGAGGGCAACAGGTTGGGTAAGACTGGAGTGAATTCTGCCCCATCTGTTTATTAGATCAAGAAAACAGAATGAAAACAGTGGCGCTCAGGGTGGTCTGTGTAGTTGAACACACGTTCAAATAAAAAAATTCTAAATGAACAGCAGAGGTCAAGACTTTTTCATCCAGTTGAAAAAGGCTTCTCAAAACAAGATTTTCTGCAGTTGATTCCAATAAGTGCAGATATGACATACAAGCAAACTAGGCACCATGTTCTGCACTAGGAGCCGCCTTTGGTGCCAACCTCAATGGCACTGTGGAGCCTTGGGAGTAAAATAGGAACCAGACAGTCCTCAGTCACATCTGTGCAACCTAGCAGAAGATACAGTGGCAGCAGTCTAAGGACTTTTGTTATTGCTGCTGGTCATAGGAGTGTGTGCGTGGTTCTGATATACTACCATTCATTTATTTAGTTAGGTTATTGTTTATTGTATTTTTCATGCTACCTTGTATACAGAAATGAAGCAGGTTGTTAAATAAGTAGAAACAACAAAGAGGTTTGTTTACTTGACGAGCTGCTCTGCAAAAGAAAACAAAAACATTAATTTTCATTAAAAAGGGCCTTTAGGCCATTAGAAACAGACATGCCTTCTGTTTACGCCTAGACTATTCCTCGCTCAAGATGCACAGAGAGCTGTCAGCCTGGATATGCCAAGAAAATTCAGGAAGGGAGGCCACATTGCTGCTATGATTGTTCTCCGTGCTCAGAAGGCACAATCTCAACACAGGAAGGTAGGACAGCACCTCAGAGGAAAGGGCCTTCAATGGGAAGATGGGGCAAATATTTCAGCCAGGCTCAAGCTGATACTTGTAATGGTATTCAATTTTACTCCCTCCTTCCCAACAATTTTCTTTCCTGACCTCTCCTATGGGCCCACCTTTCCCCACAAATGCAATAAATTAGGATTGTTGTTTTCTCTATGCAGATGCTGATGAATGTTTTAAATGTCCACAAGATCAGCATCCAAATGAGGACCGGCATCAATGTGTCCCTAAATTAATCACCTTCTTATCCTATGAAGAATCTTTGGGGATCCTCTTGGCTTCTTCTGCCGTCTTCTTGTCCTTAATCACAGGCATTGTGTTTGGAATCTTTGTTAAATCCAGGAAGACTCCCATCGTCAAAGCCAACAACCGAGACCTGTCCTACATCCTCCTCATCTTTCTCCTGCTCTCCTTTTTGTCCTCCTTCCTCTTCATTGGACAACCTACAAAAGCAACCTGCCTTATGCAACAAGTGGCCTTTAGCACCATCTTCTCAGTTGCTGTCTCTTCTATCTTGGCAAAAACTATCACTGTGGTCATGGCCTTCCTGGCAGCTAAGCCTGGGAACAGGGGGAGGAGATGGCTGGGGAAGGGTTTTGCGCACTCTGTTGTCATTTCCTGCTCCAGTGTCCAAGTTCTCATATGCACCATCTGGCTTGGGGTCTCTCCCCCATTCCCAGACTCAAACATGCACTCCCAACCTGGAGAGATCATCCTGCAATGCAACGAAGGGTCTGCTGCTATGTTTTATGGTTCCCTGAGCTACATGGGCTTCCTGGCTGCCATCTGCTTCACAGTGGCTTTCCTAGCCAGGAAGCTGCCTGGGGCCTTCAATGAAGCCAAGCTGATCACCTTCAGCATGCTGGTCTTCTGCAGTGTTTGGGTTTCCTTTGTGCCCACCTACCTGAGCTCAAAGGGGAAGTACATGGTAGCCGTGCAGGTCTTTTCTATCTTGGCCTCCAGTGCTGGGCTTCTGGGCTGCATCTTCCTTCCCAAGTGCTATATTATAATATTGAGGCCTGATCTGAATATGAGGAAGCAGCTGAGAACAAAAAATTAAACATGGCATTTGGGATATGTGAAAATCCCCCACTAGAATCTTGACTTGATAAGCTTATAGAGGGAATGAGTTTGTTTGTTTTTCTAGATCCTAGGCCTCTCATTCTTCAGAAGGTGCCAATATACTCTATAATTATTTCTGTATGTGTGTCCAAGTGCCTTCCTACTACTGCAATGTACCGCTCACCAGGTATAAGGTAAGTCAGAGATCTGAAAAGATCATTGTCAGCATTCCCTGTTTCCTTCATGTCACTTGTTTCTACACGCACACATGCTTCTTATTTTAATTTATGTGCTCATGGTAGCATGTTTCTTAGGTTGGACATGAGATGAGTCTACCACTAGTGACAGTAGAAATTTAAACTGGTTCATTTAGGGGGGGTTTATATCTGTTAGAGGAACCAGATTTGCACAGAGGTGACTGTGGTCAGTTTCTGTACAATTATGTTAATCCCTTACTCCTGACATTGATTTCCACTTCTCCTTTTTCCAAGCAATTCTTAGTTGACCATCCCTCAGTGGCTGTTAACTCAAACTGATTGTTCACTTTTCAGCTGAGCGAATCAGACAGAATCATGCATTTCTAGTGCAGTTCTCCGCTCTCTGACCCTTTAAAGCTGTTGACTGTGACCTGGCTCCTCAGACTGGGCAATTAATGTAAACTAAAAAGCTGATCCTTTTCCTCCAGCAAGGGGCGAGGAGACCAATAGCCCAAGTATGCGTCACGTAACGATCATGTCTCAAAGATGAACCATTCATTGGTTCAATTCTGCTGCAAGGAAGCGGAACATGTTTCTTGCCAGATCAAATGACAAAAATTAAGCAGCCATCTGAATCAACTGTATCTAGTTCCCAGCAGCCACTATGGCCAAGGATGAGGAGTGATGGGAGGTGGTGTTGTGTTAATATATTGAGAGAGTTTGTATTGTGGGGCATTGATTGTGCGGATCACTGAAGAACTTGTATGGCTTGAACTGTGTTCACTTTGTAGATTAAATACATTCATAGTAGAAATGATTTCCCCCCTCTTGCCAGGGCGATATTCATCTGTTTTTCTGCTAAGGGTTCAAATTCTTGATTGCTGAAATTTCATGGGCTATATGTGGAACAGTCCCAAAGTTGCCAATTATCAACAATTTGAACTCTCAAAAAGAAATGGTGTTTTTGGAGAAATCTGAAAAGTATAGACACTTTTTTAAAAAGCTCATGGAACGGAAATATTTTGGTCAAATGGATCCTGATGAAGCTCTAAACTGCAAAGCTGGGAGAAAGCTTGGTACATTAAGGATTTGAATGAAGACTGTGGTTTTGGACATGACATGGACATTTATTTTAGGTGGTCAGAAAGAATGCAACTGTTCTTAGCAGAAGTAAAGTCGTTAGACCCAGACATGAAGAAAGGGCAACTTGGCAAAAGTTTTGTGCCATCTACAGAATTTGGGATGCCCGTGATCATGACCCCATGTAGGTA